TGCTGGGGTGTGGTCGTGCTGGGGTATGGTCGTGCTGGGGTGGGGTCGTGCTGGGGTGGGGTCGTGCTGGGGTCTGGTCGTGCTGGGGTGTGGTCGTGCTGGGGTTTGGTCGTGCTAGGGTGGGGTCGTGCATTTCGCTCGAGACATCCTGCCAAAATTCCAGGAAATCGTACAAAAGCAAACGAATTAGTCGAGACTCATCGAAATTCCTTCGCGCGGGGCGCTTTTCCGCGTCGCGGTCGGCTCTGCAAAACAAGCGTTTCGCTCGTGACATCCTCGGCAAACTCTGCGGAGCAAGCGTTTCGCTCGAGACATCCTCAACACACGAAAAAGTGGCCCGCACCCTGTGATTTATCGATCGGGATTTCAAAAACAAGCGTTTCGCTCGAGACATCCTCAAATTTTAATTCGCCGGCCTCAAAAACAAGCGTTTCGCTCGAGACATCCTCAAATTTTAATTCGCGGGCTCGTTATTTATCAGGGAAAAATTCGCCGGCCTCCTTCGACCTCGTTATTTATCAGGGAAAAAATTCGCCGGCCTCCTTCAAGCAGGCACCGGGGGACTAGGTTTACCTACTAAAAGAGAACCCTGGGCCGGAGCCCTTTCCGGGAAAAACACCTCCCGCCGTGATATTCTTACAGCGCGCGAGAATCTGGGGATGGACCCCCCCTCTACGAGCTCCCGATCGGGCCCAGGGACGGTCCATCCTTGATCCGGGGCGAAGCGCTCCCCCCGGGGAAGGGGTCGGGGGCTCCCGTCGGCTAGACGTAAGAGTGACCCTGGGTAAGAGTGACCTTTGGTGCGCAGCTTTCGGGGGCGAAGGGAAGCCAAACCCAAGGGCGCGGGCCGCCTATACCGCATCGCGCTCGGCGATCGGGGGGAGCCCGCTGAGCCCGCACCAAAGGTCACTCCAGCGAAAGGTCACTCTTACGTGTAGTCGATCCCGTTGCGACTCGCCCCGAACTCCCGCGCCCTCCCCGCCCTCCCCGGCTCCGGCGCGGCGGCCGGCGCCGCTGAGGGCGCCTCGCCGAAGAGCGCCCTGCTGGCCCACGCCAGCCCTGTGGGTTGGCAGCAAGGGACACTCCGAGGAGGAGGATGAGGAGGAGGTGGTGGAGGAGTAGGAGGAGGAGGAGGAGGAGGAGGAGGAGGAGGAGGAGGACCAGTGTAAACCCAGGAGTCATCAACGATGTTGTAATAAACCCTGCCTCCGAGCTCCCTCTTCGTAGGCCCCTACAGCGGTTCATTTCCACAGAGGGAACTGCCTCGTTGGAAGACTACCGTTTGAAGACCCTGAAGCATGCCAAAACAGTGTTCTCGGGATTCCAACGCCGCGGATCAACCTTCTTCTAGCGTCTTGACGATCCAGAATCGCGCGAGAACGCCATTTCTGGGAGGACTTCAACACCGCGTATCAACGCAACTGTTGCGCACTCATGTCGCTTAATTTGTCCAAACACTATTTCTGGTACGTTGATCCTGGGAATCCGTGGAATTCTGGTAACTTTTGAAGACGAATGTGCGCGGCGCTGGGGCGAGAGCCGCATTTTGAAAAAGAACCGCCCTCAATCCGTGAAGCTCCTGCAATTATCTAACGAATGTGCGCGGCGCTCAGGCGAGAGCCGCATTTTGAAAACGACCCGCCCTCAATCCGTGAAACTCTTGCAGATGTTGAAAGCGAATGTGCGTGCGCGGCGCTGGGCGAGAGCCACATTTGAAAACGACCCGCCCTACATCTGTGAAACTGCTGCTAAGTTTTTCACTTCAGGATCATAAGTGACGAGGAAGTCTCAGGCGAAACGCCCAGCCCGCCCTAAAAATTGGCCTCGGAGTGCGACAGGGAAAAATTATTGATAAGGCAAAGGAATGGAGGGGGAGGAGGAGGAGGAGGAGGAAGAAGAGGAGGAGGAGGAGGAGGAAAAGGAGGTGGAGGAGGAGGAGCAGGAGGAGCAGGAGGAGCAGGAGGAGCAGGAGGAGCAGGAGCAGCAGGAGCAGGGGGACAAGGACGAGAAGGACCCCCCGCATCCCACCTCGAAGCTCGAGGGCTCCGGGGCGTGGGTCGGTCGGTTCGCAAGGGCGCTGTCCAGCAGCCGCGCCTCGCCGAAGTCGTGTTCGGGCGGTGCCCATGTATCGCCCCGGACGGCCGCCAGAGACCCGCGATGGCCTGCACACCACACCTTGTATCCGTGCACTCGTCGTGTAAAAAAAAAGAGAAAACATGATGGACCCACGAACCCGGAAAGGGATATAGACATGTGGAGCATGGACACGTTTTCATGATACCCAACTGGGCAACACCTCACGAAACATCCCACGAGACACCTCACGAAACAGCCCACGAGACACCTCACGAAACATTCCACGAGACACTCACGAAACATTTCACGAGACACCCCGCGAAACATTCCACGAGACACCCCACGAAACATTCCACGACGACAGGCAACCACTCAACCAAGGCGGTGTGGTCGTGCTGGGGAGTGGTCGTGCTGGGGTGTGGTCGTGCTGGGGGGTGGTCGTGCTGGGGTGTGGTCGTGCTGGGGGGGTGGTCGTGCTGGGGGGTGGTTGTGCTGGGGCGTGGTCGTGCTGGGGCGTGGTCGTGCTGGGGCGTGGTCGTGCTGGGGCGTGGTCGTGCTGGGGCGTGGTCGTGCTGGGGAGTGGTCGTGCTGTGGTTAGGTCGTGCTGGGGTGCGGTCGTGCTGGGGTGTGGTCTTGCTGGGGTGGGGTCGTGCTGGGGTGTGATCGTGCTGGGGTGGGGTCGTGCTGGGGTGTGGTCGTGCTGGGGTGTGGTCGTGCTAGGGAGGGGTCGTGCTGGGGTGGGGTCGTGCTGGGGAGTGGTCGTGCTGGGGTGTGGTCGTGCTGGGGTGTGGTCATGCTGGGGCGTGGTCGTGCTGGGGTGGGGTCGTGCTGGGGTGGGGTCGTGCTGGGGTGGGTTCGTGCTGGGGTGCTCCGCACCCTGTGATTTATCGATCGGGTCGTGCTGGGGTGTGGTCGTGCTGGGGTGTGGTCGTGCTGGGGTGTGGTCGTGCTGGGGTGTGGTCGTGCTGGGGCGTGGTCGTGCTGGGGCGTGGTCGTGCTGGGGCGTGGTCGTGCTGGGGTGTGGTCGTGCTGTGGTGAGGTCGTGCTGTGGTGGGGTCCTGCTGGGGTGTGGTCGTTCTGGGGTGGGGTCGTGCTGTGGTGGGGTCCTGCTGGGGTGTGGTCGTTCTGGGGTGTGGTCGTGCTGGGGTGGGGTCGTGATCTGGGGTTGTGGTCGTGCTGGGGGGTGGTTCGTGCTGGGGGGTGGTCGTGCTGGTGGGGGTGGTCGTGCTGGGGGGGGGTGGTCGTGCTGGGGGGTGGGTCGTGCTGGGGCTTGTGGTCGTTGCTGGGGCGTTGGTCGTGCTGGGGGCGTGGTCGTGCTGGGGTGTGGGCGTGCTGGGGGTGAGGTCGGTGCTGAGGGTGTGGTCGTGCTGGGGAGTGGTCGTGCTGGGGAGTGGTCGTGCTGGGGGGTGGTCGTGCTGGGGCGTGGTCGTGCGGGGGGGGTGGTCGTGCTGGGGGGTGGTTGTGCTGGGGCGTGGTCGTGCTGGGGCGTGGTCGTGCTGGGGCGTGGTCGTGCTGCTCGTGGTCGTGCTGTGGTGAGGTCGTGCTGGGGTGTGGTCGTGCTGGGGTGTGGTCTTGCTGGGGGTTAGGGTCGTGCGGGTCGGGTCGTGCTGGGGTGTGGTCGTGCTGGGGTATGGTCGTGCTGGGGTGGGTCGTGCTGGGGTGGGGTCGTGCTGGGTCTGGTCGTGCTGGGGTGTGGTCGTGCTGGGGTATGGTCGTGCTAGGGTGGGGTCGTGCATTTCGCTCGAGACATCCTGCCAAAATTCCAGGAAATCGTACAAAAACAAAGGAATTAGTCGAGACATCATCGAAATTCCTTCGCGCGGGGCGCTTTTCCGCGTCGCGGTCGGCTCTGCAAAACAAGCGTTTCGCTCGAGACATCCTCGGCAAACTCTGCGGAGCAAGCGTTTCGCTCGAGACATCCTCAACACACGAAAAAGTGGCCCGCACCCTGTGATTTATCGATCGGGATTTCAAAAACAAGCGTTTCGCTCGAGACATCCTCAAATTTTAATTCGCCGGCCTCAAAAACAAGCGTTTCGCTCGAGACATCCTCAAATTTTAATTCTCGGGCTCGTTATTTATCAGGGAAAAATTCGCCGGCCTCCTTCGACCTCGTTATTTATCAGGGAAAAAATTCGCCGGCCTCCTTCAAGCAGGCACCGGGGGACTAGGTTTACCTACTAAAAGAGAACCCTGGGCCGGAGCCCTTTCCGGGAAAAACGACGGGCGGCATTTTGCTGCTTCCCGCCCCATGGCCCATGGGCGCCCCTACAGCAGGCGCTCGGCCACAAGGAGCCTTCAGCAGGAAACCCAACCCTGAGACCCTAGGACGTCAATGAAGTGTTGGTGCGGGAACGTCACGGCTTCCGTTGTAAAACCGTCGAAATCCAAGAAACCCAGGACATCCTGGAGGCAAACATGGTTCGGCGGTGGACAAACCTCCCTTTAGAAAACCTCCCTTTAGTGAAAACGGCCTAGGACCGAAACCGACGGACCTGGATCCGCAACAATGACGGCCGCGACGCCCTCTCGCGAACCGAAAACGGCCAATTCGCTAATCGACGTGTCAGGGTAGGAGGTCTGTCCACCCCCGAATGGTGCTTCTTGGCATGGGTTTCCACTGTACTGGGTCACGGGGGAAGCCGTGAAATAACGACTCGGGTGTGGAAAAGCTGACCCCGGGCCCTGCCAGCCCACGCCAGCCCTAGCTGGAACGAAACCCAGACATGCGCCGAGATGTTGTTGTTCCTTCCGCGGCCCCACGAAGGTCCCGAACCCTTCCCCAGGGGCAAGTTTTCGCCCCAGATCCATGACTGATGGCCCCGCGAGGCCCGATAACATGCCCCAGACACCGAAGTCTGAGGAAAACGCCCGGACTGAAAACAACAAACTGTCGGAGATCTGCGAGGAAGCGGGTCCTGCAACCCTCCGCGAAACTGAACGCAAGTTCCCCAACCCCCCCCGCGCCCCCACTTTCAATATTCAGTTGCGCGCGCGGCGCGGTCCGCGGACGCCGACGGAAAAAATCAAGTCGCGTGCATCGGCATCAACATTGAAATTTGGGGGTCTGGGGGTGCCGACGCGGCGCGGGAAAAGCTTGCGTTAAGTTTCGCTGATGGATGAGGGGGTACAAGGCCCTGCCGTAGGCAACCGCGTGTGAGCCACATCCCTGCAGGTCAGGTGTCTGAAACACCCGCGGGGGCTCAGAACTCGAAGGCCGTCGGCAACCCACCGAACCCCTACGGGGGTGTCCGACACCCTGGCGCCGAGATGACCCGCAGGGCAGGCTTCGCAAGTTGTCGCAGATCCTGCGACCCTGCCAAAGGTTATGTTGTACCCATCGAACTTAAGGAGCACGTCCCAGAAATAATTTCGAGCACCCAGGAAAGTATCGAAACAGTGTCTACCCGACACGAAGACGAAATGTCGAACGAGCATCGCCTCCCAAGGCCCAGCACGTGAAGCCCCTCCAGTCTCGGCATGTTCTTGACGCACGATACGGATGCAAGGGCCTTGGAAGACCCTGCCGAGGCTGTTCGAGCGGGAACGCGGTGAACGAAAGCGGCCAGGGACAAGGATGCGAGGACACCCTGGGGAAGGCTGCCCATCCTTCCTGTGCGGGTTGACCGTGGGACCCGCAGGGGCAGGGCTCGCAGGCGGGCGCAGATCCCGGGGCCCTGCCCGGGGGGCTTTCGACAAGACCAGCGTTTCATCTCGAGTCGTCTCCTGGCGGCCGCGGGGCCCGGGTGAGGGCTCTGGGAGCCCGAGGGCGGCAGGCAAGAGCGCCAACCCCTGCGGGCAGCAGACACCGAACAGCTGCCTTGCATGGCGTGACGCGGACGCGGGGGCCACCGATGTCGGGGGCGTCAGAAGCAGAGAATGCAAGACCCCTGCAGGCAAGCCGCTCAACCTCACAAAGCAGCACGAGAACGCACCCAGCACCCGGAAGCGTTCTCCTGCCACCCCTGAGGAGGAGGGCAGGGAGGAGGACAGGGAGGAGGTGGACAGGGACGTAATGATTTGTTCGCAGCGTGGACCCCCAGAGGTCTGGACCCCCTTCCCGGGGCGGGCTCCTCACCCTGAGCCGCTTTTCTGCTTGCTGGCCCGGCAGGGCACACCAGGAGCCGAACATACAGTAGGAGCTCGGCCACAAGAAGCCTTCCGCAAGACACCCAAGCCTGAGACCCCAAGACGTCCACTGATTTTTGGTGTGGGAACGTCACGCTCTCCGTCCGAGAACCCTCGAAACCCGAGGAACCCAGGGCACCCTGGAGGCAGGCAGGGTGTTTCTTGGCATGGCTTCCACTGGAGAGGGCACACCAAGAGCCGAACAGCAACATGATGGACCCACGAACCCGGAAAGGGATATAGACATGTGGAGCATGGGCACGTTTTCACGATACCCAACGGGGCAACACCTCACGAAACATCCCACGAGACACCTCACGAAACATCCCACGAGACACCTCACGAAACATTCCGCGAGACACCTCACGAAACATTCCAGGAGACACCCCGCGAAACATTCCACGAGACACCCCACGAAACATTCCACGACGACAGGCAACCACTCAACCAAGGCGGTGTGGTCGTGCTGGGGAGTGGTCGTGCTGGGGTGTGGTCGTGCTGGGGGGTGGTCGTGCTGGGGGTGGTCGTGCTGGGGGGGTGGTCGTGCTGGGGGGTGGTCGTGCTGGGGCGTGGTCGTGCTGGGGCGTGGTCGTGCTGGGGCGTGGTCGTGCTGGGGTGTGGTCGTGCTGGGGTGTGGTCGTGCTGGGGTGTGGTCGTGATGGGGTGTGGTCGTGCTGGGGTGGGGGTGGTCGTGCGTGCGTGCTGGTCGTGCTGGTCGGCTGGGGCTGGTCGTGCTGGGGCGTGGTCGTGCTGGGGTGGTGGTCGTGCTGGGTGCGTGGTCGTGCTGGGTCTTGCGTCGGCTGGGCGTGCTGGGGCGTGGTCGTGAGGTGGTCCCGTGGGGTGTGGTGTGCCGTGCTGGGGTGGGTTGCTCGTCGGGATTTCAAAAACAAGCGTTTCGCTCGAGACATCCTCAAATTTTAATTCGCCGGCCTCAAAAACAAGCGTTTCGCTCGAGACATCCTCAAATTTTAATTCGCCGGCTCGTTATTTATCAAAAATTCGCCGGCAATTCGCCGGCTCGTTATTTATCAGGGAAAAAATTCGCCGGCAATTCGCCGGCTCGTTATTTATCAGGGAAAAAATTCGCCGGCCTCCTTCAAGCAGGCACCGGGGGACTAGTTTACCTAGTACAAAGAGAACCCTGGGCTCATGCCCTTTCCGGGAAAAACCCTTCTGCCGTTGGCTGTGCCGCGAAGGCTTCGTGGCAGAAATAACGACGGGAAGTGTTTTGCAATGTTCGGCGCCAGTGAAACACCCGCCGATGCGGCGACAAGACCGTCGACCCCCCCCGCGGGGAGCGATGATGATAGCTCGTCGCATCGGTTCCAACTAAAGCCGCCCCAGTGGTCACAAACACACATACACACACACTCGTGCACGCTAGGAACAATAATCGGTTCGTAACCGACGTCTTTTGGTTAACATCACTTGGACTCGCATGGCGGGGTCTGGGTAGGGAGCCTCAGGGCTCCTGGGACCCCATCGTCGATGCATCACCGACGCATCGGCTATGCATCGGCGACTTCGGCGATGCACCCGTCGGCGTGGAGAACATCGGGCCCCACATCGAGCCGCATCGCAGAATCATCGGCGATGCGGCGCGATCCTCCGACCCCATCCGCTCTGACCCCATCTGGGAACTGTCCCTCGATCCGCGCTGTGTGGAAGAATCGGGAACGGCATAATTTCCCAGAGGTCGGTACTGATGTCTTGGGTCTGCGCTGGGTCCCCCTCCCTGTCGGCGGAGCGCGCCAGGGGAGGCGCCGAAGGCGCCGCCAGGGGGGCCACGAGCGGATCCAGGAAATCCGAGCGGATCTCAGAGACTGTAGCGTCCACGATGCAAAGTCCAAGGTGCTGTTCTTGGACCGTTGCGTCCACGATGCATCGGCGATGCGGCGCGATCCTCCGACTTGGCGGCGCGCATGAGGGGGTAGGGGGAGGGGGGGAGGCTCCTTAGGAGGCTGCTACTTCAGAAAGTGCGGGACCTACATCTTTAGGACAGGCCGCGACTTCTAAGAAGCAAAGGCGCTTCTAAGAAATCTGACCGCCTCCCCACATGACTCGGGTCTCTGGCGGCCGTTCGGGACGATCCGGGTGCCCCCCCGGAACGCCCTCGGCGATGCGCAGCTGCTGGCTCGCACGCCGAGGCTCAAAACATGATGGACCCACGAACCCGGAAAGGGATATAGACATGTGGAGCATGGGCACGTTTTCACGATACCCAACGGGGCAACACCTCACGAAACATCCCACGAGACACCTCACGAAACATCCCACGAGACACCTCACGAAACATTCCGCGAGACACCTCACGAAACATTCCAGGAGACACCCCGCGAAACATTCCACGAGACACCCCACGAAACATTCCACGACGACAGGCAACCACTCAACCAAGGCGGTGTGGTCGTGCTGGGGAGTGGTCGTGCTGGGGTGTGGTCGTGCTGGGGGGTGGTCGTGCTGGGGGTGGTCGTGCTGGGGGGGTGGTCGTGCTGGGGGGTGGTGTGCTGGGGCGTGGTCGTGCTGGGGCGTGGTCGTGCTGGGGCGTGGTCGTGCTGGGGTGTGGTCGTGCTGTGGTGAGGTCGTGCTGGGGTGTGGTCGTGCTGGGGTGTGGTCTTGCTAGGGTGTGGTCGTGCTGGGGTGTGGTCGTGCTGGGGTGTGGTCGTGCTGGGGTGTGGTCGTGCTGGGGGGTGGTCGTGCTGGGGCGTGGTCGTGCTGGGGCGTGGTCGTGCTGGGGGGTGGTCGTGCTGGGGGGGTGGTCGTGCTGGGGGGTGGTCGTGCTGGGGCGTGGTCGTGCTGGGGCGTGGTCGTGCTGGGCGTGGTCGTGCTGGGGTGTGGTCGTGCTGTGGTGAGGTCGTGCTGGGGTGTGGTCGTGCTGGGGTGTGGTGAAGTCGGGATTTCAAAAACAAGCGTTTCGCTCGAGACATCCTCAAATTTTAATTCGCCGGCCTCAAAAACAAGCGTTTCGCTCGAGACATCCTCAAATTTTAATTCGCCGGCTCGTTATTTATCATGGAAAAAATTCGCCGGCAATTCGCCGGCTCGTTATTTATCAGGGAAAAAATTCGCCGGCAATTCGCCGGCTCGTTATTTATCAGGGAAAAAATTCGCCGGCCTCCTTCAAGCAGGCACCGGGGGACTAGTTTACCTAGTACAAAGAGAACCCTGGGCTCATGCCCTTTCCGGGAAAAAAAACGTCGCGACCAAACCAGACTGCCCGAGGACCTCGACACTCAAACGTCGAAGAGCCCAAACGCGACCCGAAACGCCTGGAAACTCCCCCCCTCCTCCTCCTCCGTTTCCTCCTCCTCCTCTTCCTCCTCCTCCTCCTCCTCCTCCTCCTCCTCCTCCTCCTCCTCCTCGTGCGCGTGGCGGGCCGACGCCAGCGGCTCGGAGGCCCCCGTCCTGGGAGGCCCAGGTTCCCAAAGAGCACGCGCACGGCCTGGGAAGGAGGAGGAGGAGGAGAACCAGTGTAAACCCAAGAGTCTGAGGAGGAGGAGGAGGAGGAGGAAGAGGAAGAGTAGGAGTCTGAGGAGGAGGAAGAGGAAGAGTAGGAGTCTGAGGAGGAGGAGGAGGAGGAGGAGGAGGAGGAGGAGCGAGCGCCCCCGCACTGGAGGAGAGGAGGAGGAGGAGTCGTGGGGGAAGTCTTGGAAGGACAGGAGGAGGAGGAGGAGGAGGAGGAGGAGGAGGAGGAGGAGGAGGAGGAGGTGCTCGGTCCCCTGTCTGGGAGGCCCAGGTTCCAAAGGACACCGCTCGGCCTGGGAAGGCGGCCAGCCCCGCGGCGCCGCGCGCGGGCGGCGCCGCCTCGCGCGCGGGCGGCGCGCCCAGCGCGCCGCTGAACTGCTCCCACATCAGGCTGGCCGCCCTCTCCACCTCTACAGGAGGAGGAGGAGGAGGAGGAGGAGGGAGGAGGGAGGAGGAGGAGGAGGAGGAGGAGGAGGAGGATGAAAAAGAGGAGGAGGAGGGAAAGGAGGTGGAGGAAAAGGAGGCGGAGGCGGAGGCGGAGGCGGAGGAGGAGGCGTAGGCGGAGGAGGAGGAGGAGGCGGAGGAGGAGGATGGGGTGGAGGAAGGGGTGGCCGCCCTCTCTACCTCTATCATGGGCGCATGCGTACAGAATGCATGGGCGGATTCTGGACGCCCTGAGCCAAAAAGCATGTTTCATCTTACTTCTGCCGTCGCCTTCCGCCAGCCTTCCGCCGGCTTCCGCTGGCGGAGTCAGGCGGCCTCGTTTTGCTTCCGCCGACCTTCCGCCGCGGAAGGGATGACGACTCCTTCGACCCTCGAAGGCGAGGCCCTTTTTGCAACTCCCCACGTGCATGTTGTCACGGATTGCCCCGAATGTCGTACAGTCAGGGCCCTGAAGAAGGAACCCTTTTGGTTGGGGAGGGGCTCCGCGTTCCCTAAGTGTTTCACAGCTTGCCTCACGTTTTCCTTATGCTTTCGATCGGAAATCGAAGGTTAACTTATGGAAAAAGGGGCCTCGTTCCTTATTTAGGGTTCCTTAGGTCAAGGCCCCGACTGTGAGAAAGGGGTGGGGGGGTTACAAACCTCCCAGACACGCAAGTTCAGACCACCCCCCCATCCGGCCATGAAGGGGCGGCCTTCTGCGCAGACCCCCAAGGACCCTCCAAGTCAGCTCAAATGAGACCCCCACCCCCAAATTAGACCTCCTCCTCCTCCTCCTCCTCATCCTCATCCTCCGCTTCCTCCCCCCACTCCTAGCCCTTTCGATCAGGGTCGGCGGCACCGGCCGTCAGGCCTACCCAATCAGACCCCGCCCCATTTATTGTGAAATCTGGAATAGGCAGTCTGGAGAGCCGTTCAAGATGTTTGACCTCGGTAGCCGGAAAGAAGAATCGTACTCTACACCCAGCTCTGGTCGCGAACGCCCCGCGGCCACGCCCAAAAAGCGTGGCCCTGGGCAAAAAACCCGCGCCCCCCGAAGGACGAAGTCTGGAACTGCCGCGGTCGCCCCCTCGGTCAGGGCGCCGCCCGAAAACCGAAACTCTCCAGAGAACTCTGGCCCGAGAATGCGTTAAGAATTTTGACATAAGAAATATTGGGTTGCAACTGGCTGATGCGGGTAGAGATGGGCTTTCCTGGACAACGATTAAAACGAGGACTTGGGTTCGGGCGGGGGAAAGTTAGAAGCTCGAGTTCGGAAACCAAGGAAAACACGAGTTCGAAACAAGTTCGAGAGTTCAGAGGGAAACCGAAAACAGTTCAAATGGTTTAGCAGAAATTGGGACTATTTACAAACCGTTAGAACAACATCCAAGCTAAGTTTCAAAGTTCGGGAATGTTCGGAAACAAGTTATCAAAAAGTTCGGAAAGAGTTCGGAACCAATTCGGGAATGCACAACAAAATCACACCCGCTCTGGAAATGTGGTATATCTTCGCCGCCGACTTTAACCGAAGCCTTCTTTGGACTCCAGGATTCCGGCACACTTGCACTTGAACTTTCTAAAAGCGTTCGCCTCGAACTTCTCCCGCATTCTGATTCTGACTTGTTAAACATAAGGGCCGCTTGCGCCTCCTCAGCCTATTCCAAATCTAGGGGCACACCGTAATTACGGTCGTTTTTGGCCTTCGCGGGGGGACCACGATCTATCGAACGGGCGCCCAGCGTCGTCGGGAAACCACAAACATCTCCGAAGGGCACATGCTGGCAGACCGGTGTTTTACAGTTGGCGTGCTATCTAGACCTCTGGTACCTCTCTGGAACCAGGCGCAGACAGCGAACCCTGCAGATTCACTAGGCCCGCATGCACGAACACGGCCCCCCGGCTCGCATAGCCACCCTCGTGATGTCGCGAACGCGAACGCTCGCGCCATGCGCTCTACCGAAGCCGATACGACAGGTTCTGGAAGCCCTGAACCCACAAATGTTGGTGAGCGTTTTCTTCGTCGGCGTTGCGACATTCGGCGGAAAGGGGGGGAAGGGGGAGGGGTCTGGCTCCGGACCTCTGCTTACTGCGACTGTTTGCAACTGCGTGCCCTATGTGAGAGGCCTCCAACTGCTTGAAACAGGCGCCCAACGCAGCCAAGATCTACCCCGTGGGGCGGGGAACGGTGGGCGGGTGCGGGGACCCGCGCCGATCGGCAAAACAGTGACTAAGACAACGTCTGCTGCCGCCGGTTTCGGGGACCTGCTGACCCGGGTCAGTCCAGACCCAAGTCCGTCGGGCCTTGCAGGATCCTGCGAGATCCTGCGGGCGGCTGCAGGATCCTGCACCCAAGCCCGGGCCAGTGCACCCCTGACCATGCAGCATCCTGCAAGATCCGGCGCTCTGACTGACCCCGTTTGCAGTGACCCCCGCCCCTTGAGCCCCGATCTTGGGGCCTCCTTCTCAGTAGTCCGTCTTGGGGGGAGGAGGAGGAAGAGGATGAGGAGGAAGAGGGCCAGTGTAAACCCAACAGTGATCAACGATGTCGGAATACACCGCCGTTCCAAACGCCTATTTCATAGGCCCCTGCATGTGTTCATTTCCACTGAAGGAACTGCCTCGTCGGAAGACAACCGTTTGAAGACTCTGAGGCATGCCAAAACAAGATCAACCTTACGGTTGCGTCTTGACGATCCCGAATCGCGCCAGAACGCCATTCTTGGGAGGACTTCAATACCGCGTATCAACGTAACTGTTGCGCCCTCATAATCCTGAATCCTTCCGAAACACCATTTCTGGTACTGATCATGGCAATCCACGAAAACCTTGCTAATTCTATAAACGAATGCGCGCGGCGCTAAGGCGAGAGCCACATTTTGAAAGGAACGGCCTTCAAACTGTGTCTCTTGCAGATTTCACAAACGAAACCACATTTTGAAAAGGAGCCGCCCTCAATCCGTGAAGCTTTTGCAATTTGTTAAGACGAGTGTGCGCGGCGTTGATGCGAGAGCCACATTTAAAAAGGAGCCGTCCTCAATCCGCGAAGCTCTAACCAATGTTTAGAACTCGGGTGCGCGGCGCTAAGGCGAGAGCCACATTTTGAAAATCACAACAGCGCAGCCGCGCCCTGCCCTTCGCGCCCCGGAGGAGGGGGGCCGCCCCCATTGCCCGCCGCCGTTGCGGGCTCCGCGGCAGGAGCGCCTTCCCAGGCACTCGAACGACCTCCTTCCCATGCGCTGGAGCGGCCGCCTTCCCATGCGCTCGAGTCCCACCAGCGGCCCTCCTCCCTTTCGCTCCAGCGGTGCTGTCCTCCACTGTCGCCGCCCCGTCCGCCGCCGCCCTCACAGCCGCGACGGTTGCCTTGCCAACCTCCGCTGCCGCCCTCCCGTCCGCCGCGACTGCGGTCACTGCCGCCGCCGCCCCCCATCCTTCGCCTTGCCAACCTCCGCTGTTGTTATCTCCGCCGTGCCATTCGCCACTGCGGCCACCTTCGCCAGTGCGGTCGTCCCAACCTCCGCCAGCTCCCCAACCGCCGCCCTTGCTCCCTGGAGACACCGCATCTGCGGACCTTGTCTCCGGTGCCGCCTTCTCACGCCATCCTGCATTCATTTCTGGACGGATTGGAGGCTGCGGTGGCGCAAGAGCGAGCCCGCCCAACCGCCGTCGAACCTACCGTCGGCGCGGGCTTGGGCCAAACGTGAGCGGAGGAGGAGGAGGAGGAGGAGGAGGAGGAGGAGGAGGAGGAGGAGGAGGAGGAGGAGGAGGAGGAGGGGGAGGGGGAGGAGGAGGAGGAGGAGGAGGAGGAGGAGGAGGAGGAGGAGAATGAGGAGGAGGATGAAAGTGAGGAGGATGAGGTGTTCGTGGGAGGGGTCGAGAGCTCACCTCTCCAAGGCGCCCCCCCCTTGACCGCTTTCTCGCGGCGGGGGGGGGCGGGGGTCACAACGCCCCCCAGGGCCCAGGGAGGTGGTCAGAACTCGCTCCGCCAGAGCGCCCCCCCCCGTGACTTCCCCGCGGCGGGGGGGGCGTTCCAGAGCCCAGGGAGGGAATTACAACGCGCCCCATCCAAGATGCCCCCCCCGTGACCGTGACCGCTATTCGCGGCGGGGGGGAGGGCGCCCTGGAAGAGCGAGCGTCGTCGTCGTCGTCGTCGTCGTCGTCGCCGCAACGGCGACGACGGAGACGGTGAGGAGGAGGAGGAGGAGGAGGAGGAGGAGGAGGAGGAGGAACAGGAGGAGGAGGAGGAGGAGATGCAGTTACATTTTAAACTTGCATATTATATATATATATATATATATATATATATATATATGTACATATATATGTATGTATGTATGTATATCTATATACATATATATACACAATATTCCTCTTCCCATATGTTTGCAAGCCTGGGCGGGGGACACCCACCGAAACAAACAAACTGACTCCCAGGATCTGGGGCTTTGGGACCCTCCGGACGGGCCTCGAAGCGGCCCCTCGGGCCTCGCAGGGCGTTTTGCCAAGCCTTCCCAGCAGAACTAGGGCGATCAGGGGGGGTCATCGGAGACATCCCACAAACCCCCAAGACAGCACAAGAGCGCTCCAAGAGTGACGGACGTGACCTCAAGATGGCCCAAGGACTCCAGGACGGCCCCAAAGAGGCCTCCAAGAGCACTCCCAAGAAGGCCCCAAGAGGCAAAAATCAAGGATTGTCTGTTGGTTTTTGGTGAATTTGGGGGTTCCCCTCTTTTCGGCTTCCCGACGCTCCAAGACGGCGGTCTTCTGGACGTCCGAAGCCGCCTGGGAGGCTCCCAAATCGCCCCACACCCATCCGAAAGGGCTTCCAAGCAGTCCAAGAGAGCCCCAAAACGGCACAATACGGGTCCAAGATGGCCCTCAGAGAGCTCCATGGCGGGCCAAGATGGCCCCAAGACGCCCTCCGAAGCATTCCAAATCGTGACCCAGGCGTTCAGGGAGACCGCGGTTGGAGGCAGGGTGGCCCGAGG